AACAATTAATCCATTACATCACCATAAAAATTAACCATAGGAGTAAATGAGTTGAACCTAAACAGAAACTCTTTTAATCATTGAATTTAGTTGGTTTTTACGTGTTTTCAGCTTTTAGTTGATTAGTTAAGTTTTAGTTAAGTTTCTAGTCTTGCAAAACTAGAGAAAACCCCTCTGTTTTACTAATTGTTTTAGATAATTCTAGTAGTTAGATTAATTTCTGTTCCTTGAGTTCGATACCCTACTTGCTAATTCATATTACCAATTGACAGGTCCACTGCCTTTTGTGTGTCGAATTTATAAATTAAAAGTAGGATAAAACTAGTTAGTTTAACACACATCACCTTGACTCGCCGAGTTCTTCCTTGAACTCGTCGAGTTATTCTTCATATAAGTTGGGACATTGCCTTGAACTCACTGAGTTCATCCTTGAACTCGTCGAGTTCTTTGATCTTCAAGTCCATATTCACGTCCATCTTGTTGAGTCCTTTTCTAGACTCAACCAGATCGATCAGAAACAGAAAAGGTTGGGGAACCATGACCCGACTCGCCGAGTCCTATGAGCGACTTGCCGAGTCCCCCAAAGTCCAAGTCTACCAAGTCGATTTCAGTCGGGCTTAATGCATCCAGAACATAGATCTGACCTCCTAGGATCGATATAGCATGTAAAGTTACAAACTTTACGTGCATGCATGGGTTAACTAGTTCATAAGGACCCAAAATGAAGTCTACAAGGTGCATGGGACTCCAATGGCCATAAAGTTGGAAAATGTAGAAAATAACCCTAAATGGAGATCTAATGAATAGTCAAGGTATCAGCTTTATACCTCAACTGAGCTGGAAATATGCCAAAACCTATGGATCTACTTGCTTTCTCTTGATCTCCCAAGCCTCTTCCTTCTTCTCAAGCTTCAAAGACACACAAATGGCACAAAAGGCTCAAGAACACTCAATATTCGATTAGGGTTTCGTGAAGAGAGTCTGAGGGCAATGGAGGCTGGAGTGGAGACCATATAAGTTGTTTAAATAGGGTGCAAACCCTCAAATTTAGGGTTTCATCCAGACAAGTCTACTCGTCGAGTCGGGGCTTCCGACTCAATGAGTAGACTCTTCCCCGCGCGTCCAAAATTCGCATCTACTCGACGAGTTGGGCCTCCAACTCGTCGAGTCCCTGTGTAAAAATGCAAAACTTATAATAAAATACGTACATAGAACCGGGCGTTACAACTGTCCTCCACTTATTTTAGACTTCGTCCTCGAAGTCTGTTGCGGCATCTGGAAAAACTTCGGGGTAGTGCTCTCTCATCTCGTCCTCCGGCTCCCAAGTCCATTCTGAGCCCTTGCGGTGCTTCCATTGCACCTTCACTAGCTGAACAACCTTGTTCCTCAAGGTTTTCGTCTCGCGATCCAGAATCGTTGCCGGTCTCTCACTGTAGTTCTGTTGGATTAGGTGTCTAAGCCCATAACTATAATTAGGATGAACTTGACCCGATAGTAGCATGGTCCTTTTGGGTTGCCTTCACCAGTGCAATTTGATAGGATGGACTTTTAAGAATAAGGTTATTTGTGATTTGTTAATATATTATAAGTATAATATATTAATTGAGAAATCATATTATTTAATTAGTATTGATCAAGAATTAATTTGGAATTAATTTTGTGATAAAAAAGAGACTAATTAAATATATGGGGATTGATTATGTAAATCAATGATTCTTATAGTGTGGGCTAAACATCCATGGTTATTTAGGATGGGCTAGACCAATGAGATAGTCCATGGGTAGTCCATGGAGATTTAACCGATGGAGCCTAAGTAATATGAAAGGTCATTAGGGTTTGCAAGGTGTAACCCTATCATTTGCTACACTATAAAAGGACTCTAATAGAGCCAAAATCTGCTAGACCATCATTCTAAGAGAGTGATATAGATTTTTTGCTAAGTAACTTATTCTCTCCAGCCTCCTCTTGCATTTGGTGTTTGTGACACATTAGAGGCATCACACTTGAGGTGCTCAAGCTATCAAAGGTCAAGAACTATAAGTCCTACTAAGAGGTAAGTTATCTAACTAGTTGTATTGTTCAATTGTCAATTTGTATGCTAGTTAGGATGTATGCTTTGGAAAATTTAAAATGCATGTGTAATTAGAGAAACATAGATCCAAAGCATCTAGGGTTGCATGTGCACCATAGGAGTGTTATAGTGCTCAAAAACCCAACAGTGGTATTAGAGCCTAGGATTGTTTTCTGTTATACTTGATGCTTATTTCTTTCTAAAGTTGAAAAAAATCGATTTTCTGGCCTCTGACTGATGAACTCGCCAAGTCCACTGGCTGACTAAACGAGTCCACTCAGTAAATGACCAACTAGACGAGTCATGTTCTTGCACTCGCCGAGTTGATGGCTCTGGGTGCAAAATTTCGAGTTTTTTGCCAGAATTGGATTAGGATCATTACCACAAACTGTTTTTTGAAACATATAATATGTTTTATGTATATGGTAATGATCATGGTCATCCAATTAAAAGATAATTGTCAAAATTTCAAGATTTGTATTAGTTTATATGATTAGGCTAATTTCTTA